TTCACCACTTGTGACCGACGTGTGCAAGCGGGGGACAAGGATATGCACACGACGAGTAACGAAAGCAATCGCGTACGGAGTTGGCCAAGGATCTTGCAGTCGAGGATCTTACAGCCCCCACTCTCTTGCGCCTGGGAAAGCCAGGAAGGCAGCGAGTCCGGGGCCTGATATATATATTTTGCGAGCCCTGCGCTCCGCTGGCAAGGTGGCGAGCAAGCTACGTGTGTCGGCGGCTGCCAGGTTTCACAATCGGGCCCACCGCATGTCAACGCGCGGAGCGTTTGTTTTAGGCGTGCCATAGGACCTGCGCCGGAATGCCGCGCGTAATTATAGTCTCGCAGAGCCGGTCGGCGCATGTAAGGACAGGGGGCGACGAGGTGCACGTTCCAGCACGCTCGACTTCACTCCGTACGTGGAGTTAACGTCTCGCCACGGTGGCGAGACGTTAACTCCCTCGCCTGGTACGCAGGAGGTTCGTGGGTTCGATCCCGTGCCCTGACGCCTGCTGCTGCTGTATATTTGGAGCTTGCGGCGTCTCTCTCTCCCCGTGGTTGCGTGGATTTTTTTTCTCCGGATCCTCCCTCCCGCATTTAGAATCAACATCACGCGTTTTAGAGCCCATACATTTCCACACGGTGAGAAGCCACTTCGTTGGGCTATCGTTTGTGGCCAGCTCGCTTCTGAGAAAGAGCTACGCAGCTCGGTGAGCCTTACCTGGTGAAACAAACATTGTTGTTGGATAACTTTACGATTCGATGAATGATTAAATTAATGAATTGATGTCGCTACACGTGAGCAAACTTGGCAAACGTTTGTAGGCCCCAAGGAGCTAAAGGAGGTGGGGGGGGTGTGAACCAAATATCAGCTCAGGTTTCGGCCGCCAGTGATTAATACGGGGCTCAAGAGTCTATTAGCGAGTTGATGGTTGCAGCCCGATCTCCAAATTACTGTGTATATAAAAAAAAACATTGCATAATATTTGGATAAATTCCAGATACAATACATTTTTTTAAAAATCAGTTTGACCACCATGCCACGGAAAATTACTCCGTGGCAGGGCGTGTGGAAAAATGTTGCCTTCCCGGCCCCACCCCCCCCCCCCCCATCATGAATCAGATGGCACTTGAAGGGAACTCTGTGGTAGCTCTGTGACACCCGCTCCTGCGCGCCCCGTTCTCTTAACGTGGGGGAAGGTTGCACTGCTGCGCTAGAGATCCGAATGCATTGCTCCTCTCGCGTGGCCTCTCGCGTGGATGGAGTGAGTGGATGAGTGTCGCCCTCCGATGGGTTTTGGGTTGTACCGTGGGTTTGGCGTGCCGCCGATCCAACACGGCTTCTCAACCACTGTGGGATGGCGACCCCCCCGCCCCCCCCCATTTGAAGACCACTGGTCCCTGCGTCCCCGTGCCCCCTTCCCCCACCGCCCCCCTCCCCGCCCAGGTTACTGAGGCCACAACGATACACACGGAGATCACGTGTCCGTGCCTCCTAGGCAACGCGGTATTAGGAAGGCATTTGAATTCAAGTGTCTTGTGCCGTGGAAGGCTTTCGTTCCCAGTTGTGCATTTCGTGGCGCTGTACCGTGGCGCTGACGCTCTCCCGCGTGCATTCCAAATTTCTCCTGCACGGTATTCGTGCCGCAGTCGGCACCCGCAACCCCCCCTCCGCCGCCGCCCCCTCCGTGCCCCCCCCCCCCCGCCCCGCCCCACACTGCTCTAGAGCACAAATCGCAATTCTGTAGGCGTTTAGCGGCAGCCGCCGTGCGATGAGCGAACTTCCTCCAGGGGATTTCTCGACGCCCAGGGCGGCGTTGCGCTGGCCCGCCCCGAGGTCGTGTGACCACGCGACCCACCGCTAGCGGTAACGCGGACAAGAATTGGGGGGGGGGGTGGTGGAAATGACGGGAAAAAAAGGAAGTAGGGAAGCTGTTTGGAACCGTGTTTGACTTGCGTGTGAACCGACTAACGGGCAACGGTAGATCAGGTTCACGATATCGGATTTTGGGCCCGATCGCCGTAAATATTTACCCAATAAACCGATATTACGGATGATGTTGGTCGCAAAAGCCTCCGTGTTAAACGGTAGATCAGGTTATGAACTCGGCAGTGTCATCCCGCCTCTCCGAGTCGATACTTGGTGAAGGCGCTGTGCTGCCGCAGTTTAGTTCAAGCGAACGCTCTTACGCCCCAAGACTGTCATGTGGTTAGAGCGCCAGATATGCAAGAAAAATTTTATATGTTTGTCAATGTTTATGTGTGAGTGGGGACGTCAGCCCACGTAGCCACAGAGCCATGTGGAACGGGTTCACTAATCACCAACTCGGAGCCAGGATGATGGTGCATGGTACAACCAGGATGAGGGTAAGTCCTTCCTGAATTCCTAGTTCTGTTATTCTCAGGACTCTCCCATTACAGGAATCTCACTGCTGCAAGTGAACGTACGTACGTACGTTGAACTTCTTTCGCACCGTACGTAGCCCAGCCGTGCTTATCGGAGGTGCGAAGCCGGCTCTCGGCGAAACCGCACACCGGGAGTTGCGAGGCCGCGTGACGCCGGCGTGTGTTTGCGCGCGTGTTGGAAACTTGCGTTTTTTGCTAATAACCTCACCGTGGCACCGAGGGCTCTCGGCTGTTGTCCTTCGACGTAACCGCCCCATATTCACAGTGACAGTAGCTTTTATCGAGTGGAATAAAGTGATTTTAACACGAGGCTCAACACCTGTGAGAGTTACAATACACTAATTGCAGAGACGTGAATACATTGGTGACTGAAACCGTCAAGGGTGTACCACTATTACACAGTTTGACAGGATGCTGCATCACAAATAGGCATCGCATAGCCCAAATCAATGTCATTACCAAAGAAACAAGAACAAACTCACAACAACCAGTCGCATTTAACTCATACGACCACCAAGCAAGCAAAAATGCCGTAAACACACAAATAACACAATCAGGATTCAACAAGCTTCCCCACAGAAAAAAATCTAAAGCACTTCATCTAAAAATCTAAACGTCACGAAAGAAAGTTTAAATAAATCTTAGATGATGCTACGTTACGTGCTAGCTAGTTTTACTTCAGCTTCAGTTAGCTAACTGGCCCTCCGATCACGCCACATGAAGAATGCTGACGTAGGTGGCTAGGCCAGCTAGAAGGCTCCGGCGTGTTAAAGAATACGCCCACCATGGCAAACTCGACATCTCATTGGTTAAAGAAGATGACAATCAACAACATCGTCCCCATTTGCTTTAACAGCAGAGGGGATTCACTCGGAATTCTGAAGGCCTCAGGGTAGATGGTGGAAAATCTAATTGGATAAAAGCTCAAATTTATGAGCTGCACTGGAAGCAGCGCATCTGAGGGAGAGATTAGCAATGAAATGACATTAATAGACTGATGGGAACGAACTTTGTAAAATACATAAGGCATTAATAAAAAAATATACAAAATTATAATAATATAATTTTCTGATTCTGACAATCTCTAAGCAAGCAGCGAAGGCCTTTCTGGCCCCGACGGCCCGCCTCTGCTCGTCATTCACAGACACGATTTGAGTTCGCAAGTTTAGTGGCCAAGTTGCTTGGTCTCCGCTCAAAGTCTCACCACTGACTGGGCACCGGGAAATCTACCGCCGTATTAAATCGCTTTGGCACCCCAGTTGGTCAAATAATCTAACCACCCACACGATCCACACGGCATGGGGAGAGGCCCCCCCTCATCCGGCAGTTTATTTGATCAAAGGGCCTTACGTAGATTACATTTTTGCCAAATTCTAGCTCCGATATACAAAGAAAAAAATAGTTTTGATCGTTGACAAATGGTCATGTAGCACGATTCATCACAGTATTCCTTTTTGGCATCATAGCACGATCCATAATACGTTTCTTTTGGTGTCATAGCATGATTCATCATAGGTTTCATCGTGTATATAAAATGTGTTGCCATATACCCTCCTCCACCCGACACGGCCAATGAATAAATGCGTCATGTGAATATTTTTGTTCTTAATTCGCTCCTCTTATCAACGTGTTAGTTGGATGTGTCGGGTGGGTGGAGAAGGAGGCTTTGCGACGCGCATTTTGTCTCAACGACGACCTACAACGCAAACGAGAGAGCGATTTGTGTGCATCGAGCGCGCGTGTGTGTGAGTGTGGATCTTTGTCTTTGTGTGGGGAGCGGTGGTGTTACGGTTGGCGCACTGCGCTACGAACCCGTCGACCCGAGTTCGATGCCCGATCACGGGCCAACACCGGTGACGCGGTTATCTGAAACGGTCCTGGGCTTCCCCTGGGTCGACTCGGCCTCAACTGAGCACCCGGTGCAGTGTGAAACATCGCCACTGGGGAGACAAAGGCGGCCGGGCGTGGTGCTGGCCACCCACTCCCTCGTGTGCCGTGCCGGCCTTCATAGGTGCTCGCTAACAGCATTTGCCCCAACAGTCTGTTAAGACTATACGGGGGATCTTTGTCTTTGTGAGCCTCCCGTGTAGCAGTGTATGGGCGGTGGGGGGGTAAGTGCGCCCCCTGCTGTGGTGTAAAGGTTAACACAGGCGACAAATTGAAAGGAATTTTTTTTCCCCCCCGTACTTTGCGCAGTCTAGCGAAGGAGGATGAAAAAAAAAGAGCCGTCCGTGCGCGTAAAAATTTCTGTTCGCCGATTTAATTTTGGTTTAAAAAAAAAACAATTCCAACAATGTATTTTGTGATTGTCGTGCAATGATCCATTTCCCTCGGTGGCAGAGCGTGCTGGACAGCGGTCCTCTTGGGAGGGAAAAGGTCACTTGAAGGGCACTCCAAAGTAGCTCTGTGATGGCCAACTTCTGCGGCCGTTCTCTGACGCGGGGACGTTGCTCTGCTGCGTGAGATTTCCCTGTGTGATCGTCCCTTGAGATGACGCTCGGAGTGCAATCGGTTGGAGGTACTTTCCAGCGAGGAGGGGTGGAAAAGGACGATGGGAATCCGCCTAACGCTGTTGTTTTTGTGCGTTTTTCTCTTTCGCAGAAACGAGCCGGCAGTTTGGGAACGAGTCGAGCAAGCTTTTAGGTACCGCGCACGCAACGCTGCCGCACGCCATCATCGGCCATGTTCTGTCCACTGCTGCTCTATGGGCTGGCCACTGCTTTCAACGTTTCTCGTGCTCCTGCGATGCCAGCCATCCGTCTCGTTCCCGCGCATGAACCGATCCCGGCATCATCCATCATCATCCGTCATCATCTGTCATCTTTTTCACCGCATCGCACGGCGCTTTCAGATGCGCTTCTCCGATTAGCACGGTTGGCTATATACGGTGCAAAAGCTTTCCAGACGGCCGCCGAAGCGCATCTGAAAGCGCCGCGCGATGATGCGGTGATCCGTGTTTGTCGTTGGATGGGCAGCCAGAAGCCGCCGCTGCGAGGAGCATGCTGTTCAGTGCGGGGTTGTTGAGAGGGGAGAGCAAGGCAGGGGGCGAGTCCATGGGGAATCTTGAAGAGAGGTGGGTGTGAGGGCACACCTGTCAACCCCTTATCAGTGTCCTACCTTACTCTACAGACCAATTTAGACCTTATTGGTCACCCTGTGCCCTTATAAAGCTCAACGTTCATCCTACAAAGCCCTATCACAAGGGAGAAACACAAACGAAGAGACAAATTATATATTTCTTGCCCCGTATTGAAACAGCTGTTCGCCTTATGGACCTGAACTCAATTTCCCTGTACAAGAATACGGGCTAAACCGTGTGGGTTGGCATCTACATGAGGGTGATTTCATCTTGTATCTGGCGCCAGATTTGGAAGCCATCGGGACGTAATCGGAATGATTTTCAAATATTTCACCCCGGATAATCCCCATGAGATGGAACATCTCACGATAACGTTTTTTGCGGGATAGGTCGCGTCAATGTAACTGTGCGGTACACGCTCACCACCTCCATCCGGCACAACCCATTAGTAAGGTTTGTCACGTGGACAAAATGCGCCACTTAGTTGCTGCAAAACCAACAACGTTTATAATTGAGTTTTGATTTAAAGCTTTGTAACTGTGCTGTACACGCCCACCACCTCCACCCGGCACAACCCATTAGTAAGGTTTGTCACGTGGACAAAATGCGCCACTTAGTTGCTGCAAAACCCACAACGTTTTATAATTGAGTTTTGATTTAAAGCTTTGTAACTGTGCTGTACACACCCACCACCTCCACCTGGCACAACCCATTAGTAAGGTTTGTCACGTGGACAAAATGCGCCACTTAGTTGCTGCAAAACCCACAACGTTTATAATTGAGTTTTGATTTAAAGCTTTCGTGACTGCAGGAATTCATATTCTTGGTTCTTTCGGTGAAGTCACGTAGAAGGGAAACAATAAAATAATATTGTTTTATATTTTTATTATGTTATTGTTTCCCTTCTACGTGACTTTACCGAAAGAACCAAGAATATATTCTTAGTTTTTTCGGTAAAGTCACGTTGAAGGGAAACAACAAAATAATAAAATATATAAAACAATAAACAATTCTCACGATGCATAAATTTATGCAAACCAGCACACCTGAAGATGACCGTTTGAGTTATGGTCGAAACGTTGTGAGAATTTTTTATTGTTTTATATATTTTGTTGTTTCCCTTCAACGTGACTTTACCGAAAAAAACTAAGAATATGAATTACTGCAGTCACGAAAGCTTTAAATCAAAACCAAGAATATGTTTATAATTGAGTTAACGTCGTTTCGCCGGTGATTTACGACCAGCGCCATCGTGCGTTTTGCCAGCAGCGTGAAGATGTCTTCCTGTATTCGGTCGTGTGGAGGTGGGTGTACGCACTGCCGGATGATCCTCGTCACGAAAGTAGCTACACATGCTACGGGCCCAACACTGTCAAGGGCCCTGCGCAAAATGCTTTCAAGATATCAATTCCGGTTCAGCGATTCTGCACTTCAATCTTTATTCGAAGCTTTCGTGACTGCAGGAATTCATACTCTTTGGTTCTTTCGGTAAAGTCACGTAGGTAGAAAAATAAATAATAGATCACGACGTTGGCGGCCCTTGTCCGTGCACCTCTGGGAAGATTGTTCCACGTTAGGGGGGCAGTTCCGTGTCCCGGCTAGCAGGCTAGCGAGCGAGCGAGTGAGCGCGTGCCTCTGTTGTTGTTGTTGTTTGGGCTCTTTCGTGGCTATGCGGTCGCGCGCACAGAATACAAACGGCGCCACAGCTGGGGCCCTCTGATGCGTGGATTTTCCCACGTGCGTGCGTCCGCGCGTGCGTTCCAGCGGGCGGGCCGGTAACGCCGCTTCCGCGCAGCTGCTTGGCTTGCGTAAGAGTTTGGAGCGGCGAGCCTGGGCGGACGCCGCCGTGAGTTGTTTACGTGAAAGTGATGCGCGCGGGGGGGGGGGGGGGCCCAACGAAACCCTCGCCAGGAAATGTGGAATTGTTCTCCTGGCTGAAGCTCGACACCCCCCCCCCCCCCGCTTCCAGCGGGAAGTGAGGCTCTTATGCCAGGCCCGCCGCCCCCCCCCCCCTCCCCAGCCACCACGCTCTTTAAACAATGCAGCGCCCGCGGGCCGATGTTAATCCGGTACAAACCAACGCAGACCGGACCTGGCGGGGGGACAGCCTTGGTTAGCGATCCCAAGTCTGTCTGCGTGTGCGTGCCTACAGCGGCGGTGTGGGCCGAGAGTTTGCGAGAAGATGTACGGCGAGCTCCCCGAGGCGGAGGAATCGGTGGCGCAGGGGTTGGCGCCGTTGCGCTATGAACCTGGCGGACCTGGGTTCGATTCCCTGGGTTCGATTCCCTGGCTTCGATTCCCTGGCTTCGATTGCCGGCCACGGCGAACATCAGTGGCAAGCGGTGTGAGGATTTGTCGACCCCCCCTCGTGCATTCTGCCAACATTGCCACTGGGGAGCCGAAGGCAGCCAGCCAGGAGTGGTGCTGGCCACACTAAATCCTCTTTCACCAGGCTGGCCTTAATCATCGCCACCGTCAGCTAATCATCGAACAAAGACAATGGTCACCGCGTTGCACACTTTCAGAAGGGCTTCTGCAGCCACCTGGAACGCTCTTCTTTAGGAAGCCACTGGGAGCTATGCACTTATAAATCACTAGCGGTTAGTACCCGGCGTTGCCCGGGCGAAAAAGGCAGACACACACATGGACTTACAAACAGACATGGACCCATACACATAGAAACCCACTGACTTACACGCACGCAAACACATATGGACTCACACACACAGACATCGACTTGAGAGACACATGTAGTTACACACACAAATCGACTCAAACACACAGTTACACACACATATCGACTCACACATACATACATAGACTGAACAACAACAACCGCCATTCGCCACTAAGTGGCAGTGACGTCACCACAACGCTTGTGGCAGGCTATGTGCACCTTGAGGCCACGTGAAGTGTCGAACACCTGCTGGCAGGAGGTCACGGGGCAGACCCAGTTGGCACAGGTCGACTGAGATGACTGGCAGATGCACCACCTGTGCCCTGTACCCTGCTAACTTGCTGTGCTTTAGCCACACGGTGCACCGCTCGTTCTTGTGAGCGTCTCTCCTCCGCCCTACGTTGTTGTTGGAGGCCGACTGCCTCCAACTGGCCTGTAGCGTCCTTCACGAGGCTCCTCCACAGATACCGACCTTGACACCGCTGGTACCAGTCATCGACAAGTCCACTCAGCTGCACATCGTCCTGTAGCACATCACTCCATCTCTTCTCTAGCCTGTGCCGTGCCCGTTTAGAGACCTCGATCCAGCGGAACAAAAGGTGTTTAGGCATGCAGTGGCTGGGCATGCAGGCTACATGGCCCAGCCAACGCAGCCTTGCCTGGCGTAGGAGGTCACCAATGGGACTTTGTCCAGATCTTTCAAGTATTTGTGAGCTCATCACACAATCCAGCCTGGTTAAACCCAGGATGGATCGTAGGCAGGCCAGCCTAAATGTTTGTAACCGGCGAAAATGTTGCATTAGGGGGGTCCAAATTTCGCAAGTGTAGAGAAGGGAGGGAATGACCGTGGGCGAGACGACGTGGAGCTTCGTGCGGAGCGAGAGACCAGGTAGCTTCAACACAGTGTTACACAGCCGATGAAAAGATAATGCCGCTCAACTGATTCAGAGTGAGACCTATGGTGTTAAACCGGAGCCGGTCATGAGTACACTGGGCAGGTATGGGAAACTCTGCACTCTCCACAACTGGCCCATCACCAATTGTGAGTTATGGGGGTGGATTGTCCGATGGTACAAAATACCCAGGCAGGTGCTTAGTTTTGGTGGGGCTGATGGTAAGGCCCCACCTCTTAGTGGCAAGCTCCAGGTTGAGCAGCAGCGCGTCCAACTCCTCTTCTGAGTGAGCAGCTATTACCAGATCATCGGCATACATAACGTGGTTGACCAATAGGGAGCCATCGATTGACCGCACCTGGGCATCGATGAGCCTCCCATTGTATCTGTACCAGATGTGAATTCTTCCGGTAGAGGCATTGAAGGCTTAACGAAGTACGTGGTCCAAATATATGTTAAATAATGTGGGAGGCAGTGGACATCCCTGTCGCACCCCAAGATGTACAGGGAGTGGCTCTGATTGACGGTCACGTAGTTTGATGTGGGGCCGCTCACCATCATGAAGGTCCTTAAGGATCGTGAGCAGAGGGTCAGGGACTCAAAGTACGAGGAGCAACCCAGAGCCCAGGCCTAATAATGGTATCATAGGCCCTGAGCAAGTGAATAAAGCACACATGGACTAACACGCACACATGGACCTACAGGCACGCAACGAAATGGACTAACACTGACTAACATGGAGCCACGCACACACAGCGACGAACACACATGCACATGGACTGACGCACACACACATATCAAGTCACACACACACACATTGACTTACACACACACATGGAGTGACACACACACATACATAGACTTACAGACACATTGACCTACACACACACAGGGACTTACACACACACATGGACCCACGCACACACATCGACTGACAGCCACACATCGACTCACACATACATAGACTCACACACACAGACATGAACTTACACAC